GTTGTAAGCATTCCTGCAACCCCAGAGTAACTTCCTGTGGGGTCTGAATCAACCTGCTGTTCCTACTGATTTCTGGTACAACTCAAGAAAACTAGACTTACTGTTGAGTAAGTGGTCTTTGTGCTAAAGAAGTACAAATCATAAAAGGAAAATGAAAGTGAACATTTTTCTTGATTAGATAAGGACTTTTCAAGCAAAGTGAGTGCTCTGTGTCATATCTGAAATCTTCAACTAGGAGCAAAGTCTTATGCTTTTATTCCATGCAATCGATAAAACAGAGAATCCCACCTTTTTTGGATGATATGGGAACAGGTTCTGATAAGATTGCAATAAATCTGAATTGGGAGCAATATTACGTTTTATTATTGTCAAGTAGTTTCTGAGCTGCTTGGGGATGTTGATCAGATTATTAAACAGGGCATTTATAAACCCAACTTCATTAAGTCCTTTTTTCTCTCCTCGTTTCCACCCTGAATCACTTTATCATTCACATCTCCGATATGGTATTCTAATACCTGAATTTAACATTTATCAATGAAAGGAGAAAATCTCTGAATTAATTGGGAGTTTGATGGTTGATAGGAGCTAGGAGAAAAGCTAAGAAAGATTTATTATCACATAAAAAATAATCCAGCTTGGAACTGGGAAGAGAGCTGTTATGTTGCGGGAATTGCAGTTAATGTCATCAAACAAAATGTGTATGGAACGCTGTATGGAGAGTGAATTTGCTCTGTAAACTTTCACCCAAATCACAATTAAAAAAGAAAAAAAATCTAGCTCTCTTCAGGGAAAAAAAAAAAAAAAGTTGACTATCCATTTAGTCCTGAACTAATAGTGACAAAGTACAGATTATTACAATGGAGGATAAGAATAGCATATTTTGTATATAATAAGGATAGTTTGATTTAAGTCACTCTTATGCAGTCAGGTATACCAACATTAGGGGAATGATAGAATTATGGCATTTTTACAGGGTTAAATTTCAGCCTGATTTGCTTTACATTGTCCATTTTGACCTACCTAACATATATGCCCTCTTGATCCATCAGCCAGCTAAATAATGGAGAAGGAAACATGGCAGCATTTCTCACCTGATTTCGCAGCTCTTCGATTTGGTTGAAATATGCACTGTAGTCCCGCTCAGTGCTGGGGGCGTTTGTTTCATACCAGTGCTTGATCTTCCCTTCAAGCTTGGAGTTGGACCGCTCCAGGGCCTGCACTTTTGCGAGGTAGATAGCTAGACGGTCATTTAGGCTCTGCATGATTATTTTCTCATTGCCAAACAACAGGTCCTCATTATGTCTGCCCGCATAGTGGATCATGTGTCTGGGGGTTGAGATGCGAGTGCCGTGGCCTCCAGCCCCTGCATAGACGCTGGGGGCAACCCCGAGGTGCTGCATGTTCCTTTTCCTGTGCGGAGACCCGTTCATGCTCAGGGCCACGTCCTGCGAGGAGGGGCTCGGGCTTCTGTGAAAGCCTCTGTGAGTGAAGTCCACTGGGGACTCTAGGAGAGGTCACCTGTGGCGTCAGGCGGATGGAGCGCAGGAGGCTGTGAAACGGTAGATGTTGAGGGACGTTTTATAGAGTTTACAGGAGCAAGGCTCCTCCTCTGCTGACAGGCCACCTCAGGGTTGACACCGGTCTATGTTGCCTTTTTTTTTTTTTTTGTACAGCAATAGGTTTAATTCTATTCCAGAAATCACCACTAGGAGCATATCTTAGAGGCTTTTCTCAGGGGTGATTTCTTTTTTAAAACAGGTAACAAAAGGAAGCAGGAAGGTGTATTTTAGCTCTGTGTTTGCCTTGACGGATTTTTTTCCCATCCTAATGTATACATAAAGAATATTATAGTCCTCATGAATAATTGAGGAATTTAAAAAGCCAGATGTAGGTACATAATAGTAAGTTACACTGGTATAGGAGCCCTGATGGCACAGTGGTTAAGCAATCGGCCGCAAACTGAAAGGTTGGTAGTTTGAACCCTCCTGGGGGTCTGCTTCTGTAAAGATACAGCCAAGAAAGCCTAAGGAAATTTTACGCTGTCACGTGAGATTGAAACTCTGCAACAAGATATAAAGGACAATGGTTTATTCAGAGTGCTTAGTCATTTTTCAGAACCTGTTTTGGGCTTTTAAGTTTATCCCTATTTAATATTTTATATAAGAACATGTTCTGTATAAGCAGAAACCTCAGATGTTTACAATAGGAATGAGACATTTATACATTTGGAGATACAGTTGGGGGAAGTGAATTAAATGAATGTAGGTGAGCGGGAGACTAGATGATTTTGAAGGTTTATTTTATTTTTTCCTAATTCTAATGCTTTGTCAGGAGCTCTGGTAGCATAGTGCCTAAGGCACTTGACTGCTAACCAGGAGGCTGGCGGTTCAAACCCACCAGCTACTCCTTGGAAGGAAGGTTGGGCGATCTACTTCTGTAGTGATACCGCCTCGGAAACCCAAGGAGGGGTCGCTATGAGTCGAGTCCGACTGGACGGCACATAACAACAACAACAGCAATGCTCTGTGACTACAAAATCATTTAAGTTTCTCAGTCACTGCCTGACTTTATAGATCCTATTCCAAGAAACTTAGAATAAATGCCATAGTGTTTTGCGCCAGGCTTGGGGAATGGAGTCTCTTCCCTGTAAAAGGTCAGTTCAACACCCAGCAGGAGACAGGCTCTCCTGGAACTACAGTTGCCCCCTCATAGAATCCCCAATGAATTTCACTTGCAGAACCTTCCACTGAAGTCTGATCTTTCTCACAGGGCCCTACACTCACAATAGGAATGTTTCTGTGATAAGAAGGGGTGTGTGCAGCCTTGAGGCTGTACCCACCTTCTGTGGTGGGGCTGGAGTCCATGGCACCCAGATGTGAACCTCCAGACCCCTGGTGAGTTCTGGGAGTGTTCTCATGAGTGAATATTTGATTGCAGGTATTTATTAAACGCTTGTGGAACTGAAGGGAAATTACTCATTGGCTTTTCTCATTCAAAAGCCCTGCCTGACAGTCACACATCTTTCTCCTTGTCTATTTCAATTGCTTCCTTCATCAAGTTAAGTCAAAGGCATTGGAAAACTTCACAGAAAAGCATCTCATTAATTCTCATCCCGGTCCTTTAATTGAATTGAAGTTTGTATATGATTAAAGCAAGCAAGTAAATAAATAAGCAAACACTAGGAAAAAAAACAACAAAACCTAAAAAACTGTCTATCCCAAATCCCTGCACATTCTTATTTGAATAATTTGGAATTGTCTTGTTTTCGTGGCTGTGTGGTTTTTTTTTTTTTTTTTTTGGTTGTTTTTCTGACAACCAGTGGTTTTTAAGTTTGAGTTTCTTTTATATCCTTCTTCCAAAATGAGGTAAGACTATATGTGTTTGTCTGTTATAAGCAATATATCTTAAAATAATGCCTTATATTAGATTTTTGTCTCAGTTATATTATGAAAGTAAAAACTGAGAGAAAGTTAACTCTACTTCATGCATTTTATGGTATATGTGTGGACTCTTACTTAAGTTTTTATCCATTCATATAGTTATCAGCCAAGGAGCTCTGGTAGCATAGTGCCTAAGGCACTTGACTGATAAGCAGAAGGCTGGAGGTTCAAACCCACCAGCCACTCCTCGGAAGGAAGGTTGGGCAATCTACTTCCATAGTGATACTGCCTCGGCAACCCAAGAAGGGGTCGTTATGAGTTGGGTCCTACTCAACGGCACATAACAACAACAACAACATAGTTATCAGCCAGTATTCATTGAATGAATTATTGAATGGCCACTACCAATGACTGAACATGTAATAAGTAAATCTTGTTACTTATTAGAAAGCTGCTAATTACTTTGTAAATAGATGTCACAGCTAAAATCTGTAGTAAGGGAGAAGAACTCTATGTGAACATGTGAACTGTGTTCTTCATATGTGTAGTCAGAAAATGAATGTGTTTTTTGTTGTTGCTTGATTGGGGATGATATTGTTTGTTTAAAGTCATTGGAAAATTGTGTTGTTTAAATTACACAAGCTTTGTAGTGTGTTATTCTTAGCTAAGAGTTTCAGATACTAACACATGAGTGAGGTGTGAATGAAGAAGGATCATTTAAATCAATTGTTGTTGTTGTTATACGCCGTTGATTCGTCCCCGACTCATAGCGACCCCTCCTTGGGTTGCCGAGGCAGTTATCACTACGGAAGTAGATTGCCCAACCTTCCTTCCGAGGAGTGACTGGTGGGTTTGAACCACCAGCCTTCTGGTTAGCAGTCAAGTGCCTTAGGCACTATGCTACCAGAGCTCCTAGCGTTGTAACTACAGAGGAACATCAGTGCAGTTGTTAAATATGATAAGCTTTTTTTTCAAATCATAGCATAGCTCTTCCTTATGACTGAACCCGATTATGTTTATTTTGAAGGGTTAAAATTCCACTTTTGATTTATTGGAGAAATAACTTTGTCCGTGTGAAATTCTGCCAATTTTTGGTTAGTGTTTGTTGAGTGTTTTAGATTTCAAATTTAAACTAAAATATGATCATAAGGACTTTTATTTAGGGTTCTGTCATCCAATCTACTCATTACTTAGGCTAGTGGATAACTACATTTGTAAATAAATATTTATTAGATCCCAACTTCCTTGTAGCTGATAAGAGATTCATTTTGACCTCTGAGACAGGTTATGTTGAGGACATTGTGGTTAATATTAAGTAAATCAGAGAGCTATCATAAGCACTATCATTTTCAGAGGACTTTGAACTTTTTTCCCCTCATGGACAAGCCATAGCAACTTGGGTGTGATACACAGCTCAAGCTGAATGACCCTCCTAAACCCCCATAATTGGCTTCGTGTCTGAATAATTTCACTAGTGTTTGGCCATTAAACCAAGGACATGTGGTTACTTATTTTATATCTGCTCAACTAAGAGAGAGATCAATGGAATTCCTCCCCAAACAAAGGAATCATTTGTCCCCAAGACTCATTCTAGCTTCCCCCTTTAAAATCACAGTAAGCAAATTATTGACAATTTGAAAATAATAGCTCTTCTGCTTCCAACCATTAATACTTCAAAAAATGTTTGGATCCAGTCTCAAAACACCAGACTATAAATGCAAATATGATTTTCTGCTTCTCTGAAAAAACTCCTGAAACTTATATGGTCTGATTCATTACACAGCTCTCCAAGATCTAGCCCACCCCTGCCTACCTTTCCAGAGTCATCTTCTCACCACTTCATGCCTCCAACTCTGCACTTCAGTAACATGTACCGTTGATATCATTTTCATGCCTTTGCACAAACTCCCTCTTCTCTTCCTCTGGGTGTGATCTTTTCTGGGAGCCTTGACTGTGTTCCCAGATTCCTTCTTCTCTAGGGTGACCAATTGTCTGACTTATTTAGTGCTGCTAAAACAGAAATATCATAATTGGATGGCTTTAACAAACACGTTTATTCTCTCACAGTTTAGGAGGCTAGCAGTCCAGATTCAGAGTGCCAGCTCTAGGGGTTACCACTCACCTGTCAGTTTCTTGTACTGACAGTGTTGCTTGCAAGTTGCTGTGATGCTAGAAACTGTGCCACTGGTTTTTCAAATACCAGCAGGGTCAGCTGGGGTGGGCAGTTTCAGCAGGGCTTCCAGGCTAGGACAAAGTAGGAAGAAAATTAAAACAAGTCCACATGAGCCAAAATGCAGCCTTGAGTACATCCTACCTGAATTTAGAGACAATCCGAAGAATAGATTTAATGCATTGAATGCCAATGACCGAAAACCAGACGAGCGATAACCAGATGCATTGTGGGATGGCACCAAGAGCATCATACATGAAGAAAGCAAAAGTTATTAAAAAGAAAAGAATTGATGAAAAAAAAAATAGATGTCAAAAGAGACCTGAAACGGTCTGGAATTGAACCCACAACTGTGGTTTCCTGCCAAACAAAGTACAGGCATGTGAGTTAA